AGATTCTTCTGCTCCAGTTTTGATAAATTCCCCCCAAAGTGCTTAAAAACAAATCTGCGATGAGCAATTAAAACTTACTTGACAACCAGGCACTGCAGAATCTCGGCCATAGAGTGGAAAAGGACCTCTGTCTGCGGTTTTCCCTATAAAAGTAAAAAAAAAATTGAAGTTAAGAAAAAAACCTTGTTACTTTGAATGTACAAGTATTATTACAAACCAGCTTATCCACTATATTTATTTGGCACATGAACACAAACACCAAATGTTGGCAAACAAAAAAGTATAAATCATTACTAACGAGTTACAAGAAAAATGTACGATTCATTATTTCTTTACTATACGTCAAAGCAAAACCTGCCTTTTGGGATCAGTAATTATCAGTAAACAATTAGTTCCTGGAAGTGTTACAAGGCCTACATTCTCATCCTGAATCAAGCGCAAAAGAAAAATGAGTTTTATATTGAGTGGCTCAGTATAAAACTAGAAGTGGATCTACACGCAGCTATGTCAACATAATATGCAGTGGCTCAGCTATGTCAAAAATAAGGACACTGTCCTACACTTCTAATATGGACATATTTAGGTGACACAGACACACACTCATGTGCTGTTTCAAGAGATTATATCAGAAGTTCAACTGCAAAGAAAACTGTGCCGCCACCAGCCATTGCATCTTCTAGCTGGAACTCACAAGAAGGGATTTCCATTGTATAGGCACTTTTGACTAGAGATGTGTACAGATGAGTGCCCCAACAATGAGCACCCATTTCTGATATTCAGAAGTTGCTAGCAGTAGGTGCACAGTGTACTAAGCTGTCAGTCAATTTGCTTAGCTTTGTGTTGCACTAAAACTCAACAAGCACTGCAGAGCTGCCATACATTACTGCTGCATTTCCATGCCTCCCCCCGAGGTGACTTCAAAGCTAAAAAGGAACAATTCAATGCTCTTCCAACACTGGCAAAGAAATACTGCATGTTGGAAGCCTAAAACCCTTGAACACAAACAGAAGCCGACACTTTTGCACACTCTAATATTAGCAGTAGTGTGCTAAAAAAACTACCTGAACAGCATGTGCTACCTCGAACTTGTGCTAATGCTACATTTTAAAGTCGTTCCTGACACTAGTTGCAGCATCACAATTATAAGATATTCAATGCAAGGAAAAGATATTTTTAAGCCACAGACATGAGGCTGAAAGCAAATATGCGACTAGGCAGAATTACTTGAAGTAGCATGAATCAAGCTGTTCACATTACTCAGCATCAGCATTTCCTATAACTAAAAATGAGACTTGTACATAAAATGATAAACAACATTGGGCAAAGCATGACAGCTACTGAAAAGGTTTCAAAACAAATACACTTGCAACAGTAATTTATAGATACGTAGACATTAATAAACAAGATGATTTATGTACTGGACGCTTATGAGAGGAGTGTGGCAAAAGAAGGGTTATGTACAGCATATTTGGTCATTGTATTTATAGAAAGAAACTTAAAGTGACATTAAACCCTCAGATTTGTTAACATAAAACAATAGTGTAATGTGTGCCTTACTGTAATCCATAGTTGTTTCCCTGCTCTTCCTTTTAAATCTGTATCTGTTCTCATGCTGGACAGAACTTCTATTTTGCAGCAGACTGCCTCGTCTCTGGAATAGATACACGGTGTCTGTGTGTACGTTTGCAGTTTGCAACCTGAGCCAGCACTACAGGAAGAGGCCCTGAGCTGCAAAAGGGAAGTTCTCCACTATCATGAGAAGACATGAGGATTTAAAAGGAAGAGCAGCAAAGAGAAGGGAAACTACCATGGATTACAGTAAGGTACACATTACAGTATTGGTTTATGTTAAAAAATCTGAGGGTTTAATGTCACTTTAACTCAAAAAACAAATAATGGGGTACTTCCAGCCCACAACAATGCACAGTCCAAAGCAAGTTCCTGACCACTATTGTGTTCTGTTTATTCATGAATACTACAAAATCGGGAAAAAATGGATATTGACCAACTGATATTACAAACTAAAAACCTCCAGATTACATGTTATTATTCCAATCCAATAGGTGGTTTCGGACCAGATCAAGACCAGTTATATTATTGCAGACTCATTTGGTCCATGGTTGGAGAAATTGTGTGCGGTGTGAATTTATTCCCTGCATTCTTTGTGGGGATGATATTTGTGTCCCTCATATGCGACACCACATCTATGCAAGTTAGCAGATTTGTATTTTGTTAAAATGTGAAATTATTGTAATCTTAGGCCCCGTTCCCACTGCGCGATATGCAAATCGCGCATTTGTCACGCGATTTGCATATTGCGCGACATCGCGAGATTTGCCGCGCGATGTCGCGTTCAAGCTTGCATTGAGCAAGCTTGAATCGCGGCTAAATCCGCTCCAAAAAGGGTCCTGCTGTAGCGACACACAACCCGCGACAGCAGGACCCTTTGCCCCATTGGAGTGCATTGGAGCGCGATATTGCGCGGTAATTTGCAGCGATATCGCGGGAATTACCGCGCGATAAATCGCTCAATGTGAACGGGGTCTCAATCTTGCATGGAAACCTATGCACATGGAAACTTCCCTTTTCAGCAGACTGCCTTGTCTCACACGGTGTCTGTGTATAGGCTGTAACCTGAGCCAGCACTACAGGAAGAGGCCTTGAGCTGAAAAGGGAAGTTCTCTCCAAGCATGAGAACAGATACATATTTAAAAGGAAGAGCATCAAAGAGAAGGGAAACAACCATGGATTACAGTAATGCACACATTACACTATTGTTTTATGTTAAACAATCTGAGGGTTTAATGTCACTTTAATCTCTCCCCTCTTGGCTGCTGCAACAGCAGAGCGGCCGAGAGGGAAGAGATTAAATCCTTACGGCAGCGGTGACTTTAACCAGTTGACATCCGCGGTGTTAAACCCCCTCCCCATCCAGGCCATTTTTCAGTAACTCTGACTTTAAGACGGCGGCGGGGAGAAGAGAACAAGAAGCTAAACTGCCATTGTCTGTGCCCTCTTTGATTGGGCTCCTCGGCGGCCACAGCAGTTTCCTCTGCCCACCTCAGCTGCCATTGGTGGGAGAGGAAGACTGCCGAACCGCAGTTGGCCGGCTTCTGCTGCGCAGGAGAGAGAGCACCTGGAGCCGGCTGGACGTGCAGGAAACCTCACTGCTACCCCACCATTACCACAAAAAGAAAAGGTCAAAGCAACTGTAAGTCCCTGTACTTTCTTTGTGACCTCTGCACTGCGTTACATACTGACCGCTGACCTCTGTACTGTGCGTCACACCCTGACTTCTGTACTGTGCGTCACACCCTGACCTCTGCACTGCGCACCACACAGCTGGCCTCTGTATCTGCATTGCACCACTGACATCTGTACTGTGCGTTGTTACTGATCTTTATACTCTGCGATACAGGCATATACTAAATAAGAGTTGTACCTTTACAGTATGTCAAGTTTTGTTTTTAAAAAACATTTTTCAGACACCTTAAGGCCCCGTTCACATTGAGCGATTTATCGCGCGATTTTTGTAGCGATATCGCTCATATTTCCGCACTATATCGCTCTATGTAGCTTCACCAATACAATTCAATGTAGCTGTTCACATCTCGTCGCTCAATGTCGCTCAATATCGCTTGTAGCTCGTCGCTGGTAGCTTGTCGCTTCTACATGACGCTTTTTTAGAGCGATTTTGAGCGATATTGCTCCTGATTGCATACAGCCCAATAGGAAGATGTCGCGCGACACGTCGCTCAAAGTCGCGCGATTTGCATGTCGCTCAGTGTGAATGGGGTCTAAAAGTCCCATTTGCGTGGTTTGACATGAATTTAATTAATTTAATAGGGGGCTTGAAATGGAATCATCTAAGCCCTAATGAAGGGGGTGTTTTGTTCCCCCCCAAAACAAACTGGCTGTTTTTATGTGACTATATTATGAGCAATTAAAAGACACTTTGGACTCACTTGTGGTTTGATGACCATTTGTATGTCTTTACTCAAATGGCTAGTGTCAAAGCAAATGACATGTGCAGCACCATGGCAACTGCAGATCTAAATAGAGGCTAACATGCTACTGTCATGGGAAGATAGGAGGGCTCAATTCTGCTTTTAAAGAAAAGAAATTGCATAAGGGCTGCGACCGGCACAAAGTAAGGGTGGCAAAACACAATTTGATTCTTCCTGATCTGAAGGCCCAAGAAGTGACATTTAAATGAATAAATGGGCCTTGTATGGATTTCCAAGTAGCAATAATGAGCACTTTCAACAGCGAGAAAAGCTATTCGTCACAGAATTGCTGCTAAACCTCTGTACAATGGGTGCCAATTAGAAAACATGTTCGTTGTATATGTGCCAATACTACCATCCCTGAGGTTCAAAGACATACAGATATTTCATCACCATAATTCTTTGCAGATATCTATGGGTCTTCTAAAGTATGTATTAACACAAAAGGTAAACAATAAATACCAACTCCTTGATTTAATGGAAAAAGTGAAAGGATCGCCTAAAGGTGGACAGGGTAGGAGGATAAGCGGACCGATTGGAGTAGGGAGTTCCAGAGGATTGGAGACATCCATGGAAAAATCCTGGAGGCGAGCATGCGAGGAGGTGACAAGAGAGCTGGAGGTCTTGGAAGGAGTGAACAGGGCGGTTTGGTTGATATTTTGAGATGGTGGGTGATGGAGGTTGGGGCGGATTTGTAGATGGCTTTATACGTTATTCTTAGTATAGTGAATTTTATATGTTGGGCAAGTGGGAGCCAGTGGAGGGATTGGCAGAGGGGGCTGGCGGACACTGTTCAGTTGGTAAGGTGGATGAGTCTAGCAGCTGCATTTATGATGGACTGAAGGGGGGGAATAGACTGCTTAGTGGTAGGCCAACAAGGAGGGAGTTACAGTAGTCGAAGCGAGATATTACAAGGGAGTGGATTAGAAGCTTTGCGGTGTCATTTTTTAAAAAGGGACGTATTTTGGCAATGTTAGAGGTTGAATCAGCAAGATTTGGATAGTGATTGAATGTGGAGCTGAAAAGAAGAGGTCGGACTCAAGAGTTACACGAAGCACCCTGACTTGATGGGAGGGGCAGTGCTGTTGACTCTAATGGAGAAGTCTGTGGAGGGGACAAGCAGAGGACGAAATATT